CGACCATAACACCAGGCACGATTCTATCTACGAATCTTTGCATTAGAAACAATTTGTTCAGCAACTTGACCCAGTGAATTACCAGACCTTGTTTTGCAAGTGCTAAGTGGAACTAAAATGTGCCATTTACTCCATAACAGAGATGTACTTTTAAGCTCTCTCTTATGCAGAAATGATTAAGAGGACAGCACCAAAAATGGCATACAGATAATCTTCACTTGCACCTGATAATGGTGGTTATGTCTGTCACACAAGACAACCAGAGACTATCAACTTAAATGAGCCAGAATCAAGACAGTGCCCAGAAGACTTGATAGCACAGCATGTCTACAAACAGCACCACATTTCTGCATTATCCCAGAGAAATGTGCACCAGTTCTGCAGCATGCCCTTAAAATTCCTGAAAAGCCATCTACATATCTAGACAACTCAGCCCAATTTCCTCCCTTGTCCAAAAGGCAACAGGTTATCTAAAGATGACCAGAAGACTTACAGAACAACTCTATCCACTCCATCCAAAGATGTTACTGGCTGATGATGCTTGGTGGTGGTAGCATCAGCCCACCAAGCTCCAGAAACAAAAGATGTTAAGGTAAGACCAAGGTGGCTGGTATGACACTGAAGTCTCTGGCACCTACTGTCCTTGGGATAAAGTATTGTGAAAAAACTCCCAGCAGTGCCAAATACAAGAAAATGGAGGAATCGTAGGAGGAATGTGCACACAGAACCAAATAAGCAGGCAGCACAGAAATATTTCTCCATCAGCACCAATATCTTTTTATATTAAGCTCAATATTTCAAGTTGCTCCAGAGGACAACTGTAGATCTACAACTGGCGGTGTAGATCTGTCTCAGCAATGTTACGACAAATTAATTTATGTGAATGAGCCTTTTGCTTTGGGTGGATGAAGCCTAGCTGGAAACACTACCCTCAGCGTAAACGGACTCACCCCATTCACCAAACAACATTTGTCAGTAATCACATGGCTCCAGGACCAGAGCATCTGTCTCCTTGATGCATCTCAAACAAAAACGAAGGAAGGAAGGATGAACAAACTAATTTCTCTTTAAGCGCTCAGTAACAGGAATTACAGTAACACAAATTACATATACTATTAGAACTATATTACATATACTATTAGAACATACAGATAGAGTTTCTCAAGGATGACCCTTCAAAGTCTTTAACCATTTTATCACTCTTCCAGGAATTCCTGTCTTCTCTTGTTTAGCTAATAATTTCCTACTTTGTTGCCAAATGACATCCCCCCAAAATAATCTTTTTTCAGGTTGTCAGTAATCAAGTTCTATAATATTTGCCTTTGGAAATCCCATGTCACATCATTCTTTTCTTAAATGGAGGCCTAATTGTTATTTCCTAATTTATTTTAAAGTCCTGTGCCCTACTGAGATGACTTTCATTGTTCTTCAGCCTTTACATGATAGGGTCAGGAAAAAAAAAAAAGATTTAAGAATTGTTTAACATCTGTGTGAAAGTAACCATTTCTCATTCTCTACTGGCAAAAGGACATTTTAAACAATATCAAAAGAATTTAAAAAGAACAGCTCTTGGACAAAAATGGCTCAAACTACAGCAAAACATAAGAAAATGCTTTAAGAAATTTATTTATCTCTTTGAAATTAAATTTCATTGAAATGATAAAAAATACTGGGTTCTGTTCAAATTCATGTAGAACTTGCCAAGTTTGCATCTGAAAATATTTTTTTAAAGCATCAGCTTTAGTGTGAGCCAGAACACTTGGTGTCTTGCTCAGATAAGTTTACCATGAGTCTACTTCATCTGCCCCAATTTTTTTCATTTGCATTTTCAAAAACATAGAGAGCAACTACCCAATCTATCTTTGAAAAGCACAGATCCTATGTCCATTTCCATATGTTCAATGCATGCAAGATGAGATCGTTGTGACACATCTTCACTCCTCAAAGCTGACAACAGTTGAGACAGCCACAGCTTTCCTCCAACATCATCGGCTTAAAAAGTAATACAAACTTCTTTAGCAGCAAAGCAGCAGTATGAGATCTTGGAATATAGTAACCGTCCCACCACCCCATAAGCATTATTTCAGTATTTGCCCCTAGTATTTGACTTCTGCTATCACATCTGTATATTCAAGAGTCGTATCAGACAATCTCATAGAACAAAAACTGGACATCCCAGTGAAACTATGCATTTGACCTAAATATACTCCTCAAACTTCTACTTAAATATCCAGTAGAGAGTCCACAGCACGTGAGCTCAGAAGACAAGGCTCTTAAACTATGGGCACAGATAAAGACACAATACTATGTACCAAATTCAGAAAAGCCAAAAATATCTAGTCAAGCTATGAATGATTTGCAGAGCTCACTGAAGTTTGTGGTTATTGTATTGTTAACTTTAACCAACCTTTATTCAGAAAGGGATGTCCCTTCTCCCATATTTCAATATTGGCTGCCAACTATATTTTTCTTCTTTAGCACCCACCTGATTCAAGGCCTCGTCAAGCTAACAGGGATACTGCTGTCAAGTTTTGTTTCATTCAGAACAGCAAGGCATTCATTAACTGCCTTCTACCATAAGCGCTCTGAGTTTCATTGAAATCACAATCTCTTCTCAACACACTAACATGCTATTTACCTGGACTTGAATTTAAAATGCTTGATGCTAGCTGCTGCTTAGAAAGCCACAGCTATTGCTGGAGCGGAAAGTATTTAATCATCACTGGCAGGTCTGCATAAAGAACAAACTTGTGTTGATCTCAAAAAAAAAAAAAAAACAACCCATAGGCTGACCATATTTCATTAATATTTCAGAACATTCATTTTCAAATTACCCTTTTAACCACAGAAAGATCTTACAGGCCTCTCAAGTCATTTAGAACCATAAAATGGTCTGGGTTGGAAAAGACCTTTAAAGATCATCTAGTCCAACTCCCTTGCCCTGGGCAGGGACACCTTCCACCAGACCAGGTTGCTCAAAGCCCCATCCAGCCTGGCCTTGAACAATTCCAGGGATGGGGCATCCACAGCTTTCCTGGACAACTTCTTCCAGTGTCTCAAGATTTAAACCAGGACTATCCTATTCCAAATAGCAGGATTTTTTCTATAAAAGATGGGTCAAGCTACATTTGACAGCCAATAGGACAAAATAGGCATATATTATTTGTCCTTATAACTTAAGGCACCAAAAACACATACTTGAAGCAACACGATGATTCAAACAGAAGCCGTACCATGCTCTCGGAATAGCTACAAACTGTACTGAGTTTAGCAAGGCATCCAGGAATAAGAGCAGTAAGAATTTTGACTATCAAAATGCACGTCTATTGGAACATTGTTAATCTTACAAATGTCAAACATGAACCCACCAAGGATTCAGACCACAAGGAGAAAACTGCACTAAGGATCAAGGAGATGAAAAGCAACAAAATACACGTTCATCATCTAAAAAGAGTACACTAAACAAAGAAATACAAACATGAAAAAATTGTTGTAAATTAAGAAGTATAAAGAAAACATGGAAATGCTTAGGGCTGAGATCACGCAGCTGAAGGAAGAGACCAGGACTTGTTCCTGGGGGCAGGGGGCCGGTCAAGGAAGATGAAAGGTTGGCAACACTGGGCTATTAAACTTGCCAATTCTAATGGTACAACAGGATACAAAAAAGAAGTTTGTATTGAAATAGTAGAATATGAGAGTCAGTGAAGGAGGAGGAAGACAATTCAAGAACCTGCAGTTTTAAATAGAGCTAAAGATGGAAAGGTTACTGCAATTCTGGCTATGAAAAAAAAAAAGGATGTGGTAGCAGTTAAGATTAAATCTCTTGAATAACAGTTTCAGCTGCAGAAGTACTGTTTTTATTGGAGTGAGAATGATAATTGTTCGCCATGTGTAAGAACAGGAATTAAAGGCTGAAAAAGGTCTACTTTTAAGGCACAGACAGCAAGCACTAAATTGAACCCTATTTCTTTCAACTCATTTGCAACAATTCTTTCTATGAATGGGAAGATAAAACCATTAAAAACCAACTCATCCAGTAAGTGTAGTGTGCCTGCCCAGCAACATCAGTGGAAAAAATAATAGGTATGAACAAGCCTCTGTGATAATAAATATTGCAATGAGAACAGGCCAAAGGGTCTACAAACCTAAAATCTGCCCGCAATAATACAGATACATGCAAATTTAAAAGTGGCCCACTGCACTTTAGCCCTTAAGTTTAGTAACAGATCACTTTCAAACTTAGTAATACAAAATTAATCAAATTTCCCACTTCCACAGAAACCTGTGGAATGACAAGTGGAATAAAAGTAGTGCAGAATAAAGGGAGCACCAGCTGTTATGCTGAATTTCTCCAAGTCATGGAGACACTCTGAAACGGTAGGAAGTCAAAGAAAAATACCTATTAAAATAGACAGGTAGCACCAGCTATCCTTTGGACGTAAGAAAGAAGACTGAAAAAAATCTTAACTGTCATTGCAGCAATGACTACAAGACATATTTATGGAGTCTAATGTTCTGTTTCCACCTCTCACAGACCTTCTATCTGGACAAAGTTGTCAATACAACAATTTCCATTAACATGGAGCCTAACTTTTCCCTGTCAAAATTTACTGTTTTGAATAGATGTAGTTTCTCCGTACAGTTAGCAGCAAAGGTACTTTAAATATATTAATTGTAATAAATACTACAATGAACCAAAGAACAAAACAGGTCAAATTCTCAAGTCATCAAAAAATGTATTTATTGCTTGATAAAAGCCCCAAAAAACACCAAAACTCGAACATATGCATACAAGCACTGTAGGTTAACATATTTGAAGACAAATTACTCTTTTTGAGGACTTTTATGAGTTTTCCTTTAAACAATGCAGAAGGTATATTTTACATATAAGTATTAGTTTTATAGGCCAAAGAATTTTATGAACTTGTCAGTTAAAAAAAAATCATTAATAGTTAAAGCACACTTGTTACAAATATACAGATAGGATAAGAAGCGTTTACCTTAAGTTTGAATTCCAGCTGTGGTAGGACAGAAAGCAAGAGGTGACTGTCAATATTGTATAACTCCAGAATCAAGTCAAATACATGCTCTGACAGGTCACTAATTGATGTTTTACCAAGCATGAGGACCTGATTGAAGAACTGGAAAATTAAATAGAGTATACATTAATAACAATAGTATATATACATGCTTCTAAACCCTATGCTTGTCTACCACTAAATCTAGATTTTAATCTTCTAACATTTATTCTACTATTAAAAAAAGGGGGGGGGATTCTGTAGTAGAAATCTTAAAATATCATTGTTTTATATTCAATATTACACATAAAGGAAAACACATTAAAAGTGATGTTTAGCTTACCACAGCAGACCTACAAATACTTTGAAAAATACAATTTTATAAAAAGATCCAATGCACTGGAACTCCACTAATGTGACTATATTTAGAGTTATTTCACTACTGAGAACAATCACTTTAAAAGTATTCTAACATTTAGTCAAAACAAGGCCGAAACAAACTGGCTCATTACTACACTACACAGCTGACAGGTTAAGGAGCTGTAAGTAAAAGCACAGGAATTAGTAACTGACTCTTCCAAAATTTATATTGACAAGCAGCAGAATGCAGCCATAAAGCAATTATTCTTTCCTTGATAAACTTGACAGGCTTGAGGGAACCTTCATACTTCTTATTCAAGAACATATTTTCTAATATCAAATATCAATTACACACTACTTTCAATGATATCCTCTCATAATAGATGGGTAAGAAGCAACTAAAGAGAAATATACTCCTCCCTACTCGTAAGAGGGGGGGGACACATGCATAATTTGCAAAATTTTTCTTCTCTTTGGGTGAAAACAATATACAAGTGTGGCTAAACAAGTTATACTATTTCCACTTGCCACTAAGGCAACAGAATACACTTAACTGGCACTTCAGTTTCCTATTTCCGAACTTGGGACAGATGAACATCACAACCCTCTGTACCTGACGAGGTTAGTCTTAACAGTAAAGAAACTAAAAACATGAAAACTACCACTTTTTAAGGTTACAAAGTGAATCCCAGCAAGTGATGCAATAGAAAAAGTCAACAGTTTCTAGTAATAATGACTGAAAATAACAGATAAGTGCATTTCATTAGAAGTTAAAGACTCGGTACTGTCTTGCAGAAAAGTTTTCCTTTCCTTTCCTGAATACAGTATATATTCCTGGTTACAAAACCAACTGCTACTGTGTCTTTAATATATTTCAAGAAAGAAAGAAACTTTCAAAACATAGAAGCCAGACAGCATAGTATTTCCCACTTGTAGGAAACCAAGAACACAAGACTGCATGTACATATTTTCCGTAAGAGGAAGATTCTTACTGTACAGACTTCCCTAAAACCCACAAAATGTCACCCAGTTTGTAATCTAACCTTACAGATGAACACCATTAAAAACACACTCCCATGTAGCAAGCAATACCTTCCCACATAGGAGGTTTGACTAACAGGTTTGAAGCAAGAGTTTTCACTGAAGATTTTTTAAAATCTTCGAAGGTACCCACTTTCAAGTATCACAAGTGTTACAAGTCTGAAAGCAACAAAAAGCACTGAAGATTTTATATTGTTTTCAAGCTCCTGAGGTTTTGGATAGCTGCCATGAGACTTGCTAAATACTTAACCACTTAAAAAAAAAAATTTAAAAGTGGGGTGTTTTTTTCCCTATTGTGCAACTTAAGGTAGACTATACTCCTGTCTGATCTTTACTTCCTCTCATCCCTCTTCTCTTGCAATGTCTATGATGCCTCCACTCAACTTGGCTACAACCCTCAATCCACTCGTCAGCTTTTTTCCTTACTACCTATTCTTAGATTCTGTTTCCTCCTCTTTTCCTGTGACAATGACGTTAAAATTCTGCTCTATCTGCACTTCTCTTAGCTTCTAATTAGTCTCACCTCCTCACTAGAAAAAAAAAACATTTTGCCATAGGAACAATGTGTTTATATATTTTTATCTGAACAATATGTATAAGTACATTTGGTCTTCCAGTCACATTGTAATGCAAGGTCTCTCAAGACAGCAGAAAGTAAACTATCCATTGCGTTTCAGAAATCAAAACTATTATGGGCTTAGCAGTTTCAATATGGTAAAGAAGTAGAATCAAAGGGCCAGGTTACGCAGTGCTTCATTAATATAACAATTCTCCGAAAGAACAATCGAGAGTTTACAAAAAGTTATTTTACAGCCCTGCTTGACTATATGCAAGTCATTCTTATTATAATACAGTTCAGTTAAAAAAATGTCTTGATTTTCATATTTGTATGCAGTCTCCACTTACGTTAGTGATGTACGGTTCAATTGCTTGTGCTGTCCTCTTTAGTAAGGCCTTTGCCAAAT